TCAATTCAATCACTTTCCTCTTCCCCTTCTAAGTCGTTCTTGTTATACCTTATTCTATCTTGTGTTGTGGTTGTGTGTTTACAATGATGAGGTTAAATTTATTTTTGGTGAATTCCTTCCTTTGATCTTTGATTTTAGTATTTAAGTGGTTGCTAACCTATTCCGGTAAAGATCTACTATTTTTCTGAGTTTATCTACCTATTTTTCTCCTTGCTCCAAGCTTTGTATTCCCTTTCTCTTTTTTTCAGGCCTGAGGGCCTTCTTGAGTATTTCTTGTAGACAGGGTCTTGCCACTGACAGTTTTTAAGCAGAGGCTAAAACCATCAGAGCTGAAGTGTAAAAATATTAAATTAGTAGCAGTTTTAGATAAAATGGAGAAAGAAATGTAATGTGTTACAAATTCTTCCTATCCCTTTGTAATGTGACTTTGCAGTTCCTCTGATTAAGAGGCTCAGTCTGTTTGTCCATCCTTGAGTATAGACTTGATCAGCTGCAAATGGGATCCAAGCAGAAACTGAGAAAACACTGTATTGTGGCTTGCCTACTCTTGCTGCACTTGGAACTCTGAGACTACTATGTATGTGAATGAGAGAGAAGTAACCTGCTGGAGAATAAAAGGCTATATGCCGCAGTGAGGCACCCCAGCCAACAGGCTGCCAACTGCCAGACATGTGAGCAAGGCCATTCTAGATCAGCTGAGCAACCCCAGAACTGCCCAGCTGACTCGCAGAATTTTGAGCTCAATAAAATGTTCATTGTTTTAAGCCACTAAGTTTTGAAGTAATTTATTATGCAGCAAAAGCTAACTGACACAGAGACAAAAGACCAGGAAATCAGTTAGGTGGTTATTGCAGTAGTCCAGATGAGAGCAGTAGGGGCCTGTCCTAGAGTGGTGGCAAAGGAAATTATTATAGGGAAGAATGTATTCACGAGATTGCCGAGGTAAAATGAACAAGACCAGGCAATGATTGGACGTGGCAGACAGAAGACATAATTGTCCAAGATGATGATGCTCACACTAAGTTGTCTCTGAGAGGGTAGTGGTACCATTAAGGGAAATATGAAAACAAGATAAGAAGTAGAGGTAAAGGAGGTTTATGTTGGATACATTAAGCTCAAAATTAACAGATTTTTATAGGCAATTAGGAACAAAAGTCAAGAACTTCAAACAGAGATTCAGACTTGAGAGATAACTGGGATCATCTATGCCCAGGTAATAGAAGAAGTCAAGAAGACTATTAGAGTAGATGAGGCCACTTAAGAGTGCAGAGAAGGAAGAGAAGACTGAGACTAGAACCACAGAGAACATTTAAGGTTTAAAAGAAAAAAAAACAGTGAAATGGATAGAAGTTGTTAGAGATGCATGAGAAGCTTGGAGAGTGAAATGAAGCACTGCAAGAGGAAGAAGGGGATAGTATTAATAAAAGTATTATAGAGAAATCAAAAAGGAGAAAGACTAAAATATAAAAATATACAATTTTCATGGTGAATATATTGAGATTAACTAATCTAAATAGAGGACATCCAATTTAAAGTTCATACTCAGAGTAACTTGGGTAAATTCCTGCTTGAGTTTGTTAACTACAAACGGCATAAACTCCAGTAAAATCACATTAGCTCCCTGTCTTAAGTCACTCATCTGAAATAAGAGTTCCCAATAAAGAATAACTTTGTAGAATATCTCATCTACTAGCCTTGCAAGGTTCTCTGTAATGAAAATTAAGGTGGAAGGAAATAGTAATGATATGCTTTCCTCAGTCAGGTTAGTAAGATGACATTGTCCCCTTAGATATAATATGCTTTCCTATTCCCTTCTTCATTAAAGAGTAATTCTTTTACATAAGGATGGTTAACAGCTATTTTTTAGGCAATTAGAACCCAAACTGACTTATAAATACAGTTAGCAATTACGCTTTGTTTAAATTAAGTGTCAAATCATATTAGTATATATTTAACATAAAAATTTGGTCATTACCTAGGCTTTTAGAATGCAGTTTCTCATTTGCCATGGACATGACCAGAAAAGAAATTTCGCATTACGTTTTTTTTCTGCTACCTTGCTAGCATTCAGCCTATTGGGAACATTTTAAAAATAAATAAATAAAATTTAAAAATTTGAAAATTAATTCGGGGGAGGTAATGTATCATCAAAGAAGGAATGCTAGATTTGGAGTTGGGAGGAAAAGTTATAGTACAGACTACTGCTAACTTTCTGCGACGCAGAGGATAAAGATTTGAACTCAATGTTATCCTATTCTAAAACTTGAAAAGACTTTCCCATTGTCCAAAAACGAGGTCCCAAATCATTAGCAAGGCATGTAAGGTGATGCCTGATAGAGCCCTGACTTCCCTCCAGCCTTGACCACCACTATACTTCAGTAACTCTCTCTTTCCCTCCCTCCTCAGTCTCTCTTTCTCCATGGGCTTTTCCTTTTGACTCAAAAGACTGTACAGTGCTAAGTGCTGTTTGAATGATTCTGCATTAACTCATAAATGACTTATTTTTGAAACACTATTAAATGTATTTCCAAAGGAGCTATTTGGAAACTTCATTGGCTTACTTGGGGGAAGAAAGGAGATCTGTAGATCTTGAGTTAGTAAATCTAATTATAGTACTAATTTATAGAAGTGATTCTCTTCCTTTTCTTCTCTGACTACCCCTCCCTCCATAACATAAAAACTCCTTTTCTGACAGTAATAAATTGAATCTTGGTTCATCATCATTGGGATTCTGAATTATAGTGACAATATCCATATATGAAATAGCTTAGGTTGCTAGTACTATCTGCAATCACTTCACGTTCTAAATCCTGCCTCCTGATATTTGTGGATCTTGAACAAACCCCTCACGAGATGAACAGTGAAAGAAAGGCAGATATAACCATGGCCTGCCCAGATGTGTCAAGGTGAGGTGTTTACTTCACACTGTTCTCACTATGTATATTTGGGCATCTTTGAGCCTGTGTGATGACAGCTGAAGAGTTTTGTATCAGATACTTCAGTTCCAAGTAGGGCATTGCTGTGACCTCAGATTTAAAGAAAATTGGTACAGTTTCAGTTAATCTGTGCCTCTTATCACAAAAGGTATTTACCAAAATGACACTGTCTCTAACAATTTAAATGTAGACAGTGGTTTTTACTACTTTGCCATTGAGAATAAATAATATATGGAAAAGTTACACAAGAGACTGACATGTATCCTATTTTGGTTTTAAGAGTTGCTCTGACCCTAATAGAGTGCTGGTAGTAAATTAGGTAGTATAATAGTAGAGAAAATGTATAATCATAAAGCCACAATTACAGAAATCATCAAATTGTGGCATTGTGATTTTTAAAGAAAAAATTAGAATGTTTTACCAAAAAATAGTACATACTAAATTTTATCTGCTGTTTACTAGGGTGGAAAGTCCAAATTAGTGAGAAAAGTGGAAATATTCTGATTATGAAAATAAAGCCTATCCTTATTTGTTTTAAGTATTATCATCCTGTATTCATTTTTAACCCCATGTTTTAAAAAATTTTAACCACGTGATCAAAGATCTGAAGCGTCAAAGATCTGAAGCTACTCATTAGAATATAAAAACTAATGTATTAGCTTTTAAAAATCTTAGTCATTTACACTGCTATAGTTTTAAATTTTTCAAAACACTTTTATGTACATACCTCTTCTGAGCAGCTACCTGAGAACTGTATTAAAAAGGAGAAAATAAAAATCTTAGAATTTCAAATAAGTCAAGGCCACTATAGTTCTTTTTGGGCAAGTTTCAAGATTAGTTTTTTGGATGCTGTATAATTAGAAGGCACTTAATTTAAACAAAATGTAACTGCTAACTATAAGTCCATTTGGGTCCTAACTGCCTAATAAATAACTATTAAGCAGCCTTATATAAAGGAATTGCTCTTTAATGATGAGGGAATAGGAAAGGATATTACATTTTAGGGAGATGATGTCATTTTCATATTGTTTGACTATGAAAACACTAGAAAGAGGCTAAAGGTTCTTTGTACTCACCCCCTTATGAAGTTAAATCCATGTGCACAGACCAAGAGATTTCCATAGGCATCAACTTTCAAAAGATTTCCATATAGCGTGTCAAAGACAAGTCCCCTATGTGAAAGTGAAGACATTATCAATAATGCAAATTAACACAGGCAATAGATAATCTTAGGTAGTATCACTCAATCACCATGAACCAACCTCATCTTATTCAAGCTTTATGGCAACTCAAGTACGTCCGCAAACAATATAACCTTAGAGGCTAAAGTGAGTGAATAAAATCTTAAAAACTAATCACAGAGCAACTAAAAATTATTTACTGTCCAGATAAATAATCACAACTGTTTTCTATAATCAAAGTATAAACTATAACTCCTCTTAATACAGCTGGTTCCATTCTAAAACAGAGTCTTTTAATTTCCTTGGACAACTGAGCAGGCTTGTATTTCCCTCTACTAGATGTATATGGTACATATACAATGGCATCTCAAATAAACATCATCTTTCCTAATCTTAAATCTTTCTTATCAAATCCAGAAATGCAAACTGCCAAGAAGGCTCCTGATTACCAAGGTAAGTGTATTAGCAAAACATGTAACTGCTCTCCAATAGCTAAAGGTAGGAGCATCTGTGATTACTGCCCATCAGTTTTAATAATCCCTTTTCTTTCCTATAAATAGATCTTCTTCAATAACAATAAACTAAGTTCAATTCAAGAACACAAAAGATATGGTGTACATGAAAAGTCTATGGTAATTTTAGAATCATCAGCAACCAAAAAAAAACAAAAAACAAACAAACAGAGAAACCCCAAAGAACCTTTTGATGTATTTTTTTTTCTTTTTTGGTCAGGGATGCATTTGGAATTACTAATTTTGAGCATAGAGGGAGGGGTCTTAATCCAAAAAAATTTTGAAAAATTACCTGGTAGGGAATGTAGAATCATAAGCAAAGCTGAGCAGCTCCTGAGGATAGCCAATAGAAACTAACCTCTCCACAGTAAGCTCAAAGCCAAGGGACTCATACTCCGGGGACTTGTACACTGCACAAAGAGGAGGTTTTCATTAAAAGAATAGCCAGTTAAAATAGAAGACAAACGAGCAAATTTCTACTTTCCCAATTCCTCCTTCTTCCTAAATCTGCCATTTTTCTTCTTTTCCCTCAAACTCCATGTTTTGTACTGCCCCAAGTAATCAGAGAACTCAACTGTTAGTCTGTGGAAATAGGTCATATTATAGTAGGAGCAGCAGCAACAAGATGAACTATCAGACATTTCAGAATAGTTCCTTCATTCTTAGGAAACCTTATCCAAACACTTTTTTCTCTTTATCTATTATTTCATTCCCACAACCTAAAGGCAGAAAAAAAAAAAAAAACCCTAATATGCATGGCTGGGATATTACCCATGAGAATATAAGTAAATAGAAAACAAGGTAGAGAGGTCCTTATATGTTGAAGGCTTCACTGATGTGCTTAATTGGTGTAGGAATCCTTCAAAATGAGCTTTTTTAAAAAACCACTCTATTTTTGGAATTCCTGCTTGCCTTGGTAGTTGCTTTACACTGCTTCTCCGATCAGCATAATTCTGTTTATCAGGATTCACTTGTTTTCTTATCAGCCCTAACAATATTACAGCCATCAAAATCGCATTTTACAAGTTATTACTGCAATATCAACCATAAAAAGACAGTCTGAGACAATTAGGGAAATCGGGATGTGAACTGGGAATTAGACATTAAAGAATTATGACTCATTTTATTATATGTGATTATGGAAGGAGGGGAATATGCAAGTGTATGTATAATATTATCTGCTAAAGAAGCATACTGAGTTTGTTATAGGTGAAATAAAATGGATTTTAGAATATGGGAGTTTCTCTCTACTATTGTAATGTCTGAAATTTTCTCTGATGAAAAAACTTTGTAGAATCATCACTGCAGTTCAGCATAAAGAAAATGTTCCTTTAAATAGGTTTCTTCTAGGGCCGGCTCCGTGGCTTGGCGGTCGGGTGCGTGCGCTCTGATGCTGGCGGCCCGGGTTCGGATCCCGGGGGCGCCCCGAGGCACCGCTTCTCCGTCCAACGCGAGGCCAAGTCCCACGTACAGCAACTAGAAGGATGTGAACCTATGACATGCAACTATCTACTGGGGCTTTGGGGGGAAAAAAACTGAATAAATAAAAATCTTTAAATAGGTTTCTTCTAAATGAAATGTTTAGGTAAGCATCCTTCCATCAGTCTCTAGGAGCAGGTAAGCCATATTAAAAATAGAAATAAAAAATAACGAGACCTGCAATCTTGCTAGATGCCAAATGAGGCAAAAAAAACCCATTCTTTTGTTACAATCTCATAATAATGCAACTACTATTATTATAATATTATAGTTCTGCTATCTACAATTAATATATACCCTATGGCTCAAATGGATTTTTCATTGCAATTAGTCTGCCTATCCAAGTTACTGCTAAATTTTAATGAGTACAATTCAACTTTCCCTTTCCAAAAGCAATCCTTTAGAATATATCTGGAAATACCAGATTCAAAAAACCGGTAATACTGGCTGCCTCCACAGAAGGGAACTGAGTGGCTAAGAGACTGGGGAAGGAAGGAGATTTTCATGTACCTCTTCTGTACCTTTAAAACTTGTAACATACTAATGTATTTATCTATTCTCTTTAATTAAATTGAAATTTTTAAAAGCAATGTAAGCTTTCAAAATTCTTTAATAAACATTTTTAATAAACATCTTTAATAAACATATTTAAAAAGCCTAAAACTTTTAAGGTCCTTTCAGGAGATGCTTGAGTCTCATCTCATCAGAACAATGCCAAAAGCAGCTGTCATTTCTTTCATTGTCTCAGGGGTAACAATAATTTAATGCTAATGCTAACCCCAGCTAATATTTTCAAAACTGGCTATATTTTTTTCCTCCCCTCAATTCCAGCCCCATCCTCACCCCTCCCCCTGCCAAAATAACCTTTTGAAGGCTTAAGTGTGGAATTCTTAAATCTAGATGATGTACACTGTGGTAAAGAAGTGCTATATATTCATATACACTAACAGAGTAAGAACTGGTATATTATCACACAACCAGGAGAGCATGGTATTCACTGATGTCAATTTGAACTATTTTAAGAATATAAAATGACATTTCTCACCCCATCTCATGCTTTCACCCCAACCGAAAGCGAATCTCATTTTAACAAAATTTCCATGAAACAAAAATTATTTCTCAATCTTAACAAAGCCCCACTTATTTCAAACAATATTTAATGAAACAAAATTCCAATATAGTTAAGTAATTTGAATAATTCATTGACATTCATTCTTATAAGATTTGGCCCATATAAAACATTTTCAATTATTAACTTTTCGGAAGGATAATTTGCTGGATATACCTTAACAATAGGAGACAAAAAACAAACCTTAATCACTCCCACCCAGGCTCACTCCTACATGAGTAATTTTCCCTAGTTAGAGAATTGGGTAATTACAGGGTGATGGAGTAATGGTGATTAAAATCTATGTCTATGAGACAATTTGGATTAAACCTAAATCAATTTATTCAGAATTTTTCGTGGAAAAAAAGAATACGGGGGCGGGGGAGGGGGGAATCCCAAATCCCCATTTTGCCAGCACAAACCCTAGAATAACAGAAAATACAACACTATACACTTGCCACATTGTCTTTACTCCACGGCAGAACTTTCCAAGTGTTCAACTGAGGTGACTTTCTAGAAATTCCACCTTCAGAAAGAAATACTTTCAATTTCCTTTCTCTCATTAAGTTTAGGGTACTTCCCAAAAATACGATGTATTTTCCCCATTTGCTGACCTGAAGTTACCTAGCAAGTACAAACATCAGCTGAAGCCATAATTTGGGTCTCCCTGAGTCTCACCCCAAGTTCTTTGTGGGGTACCCCAGTGGAGGGTATACCACCACTGTTAACATGAATTTCTGGATTACAGAGGCCATCAAAACTTAAACCTTGAGTGTTAAAACACACTATTCTCTCTGCAATTTCTTTCATCTAATCCAAAATAAACTGCTCTAGTCACAGGTGGGAATGGATTTGGCAGAGAGTCCAAGTTCCACTTTGACAACACTATCTATTTCACTAAGCTCTATATTAATCAGTAAGACCTAGAAGCTATTGACATTTTCTCATAAGCTTCCAGGATAATCATTTCAGTAATATGAACTCCCAGGTCACTAAATCATCTGCTAGACAACTAGGTATACAATACAACCAGGGCTGGTAAAGCAGAACTGCAGCTGCACAGAGCATGAGTTTAGATGTTTTGTTCTGAGTGTCCCTTCAGAATATCACAATTTGTTCTGAGCTGGTGGCAAAAATCATTATTCCTGAAGCCTTCAAAGTACCACAATTCCTTGAAAAACAAATAAATAAAAAGCAAAATTCCTTCTTTAATCAATGAGGCCCTTCAAAACTAGCCTCAACATCTGTGAGGAACCATATATAACACCTCAGACTGTAGAACTCTATGCCTCTCCACAGCTGCAAAGGCTCCAATTTCAATTTCTCTCTCAAAATTGGCAAGTAAATGATGCATAGCTTCAAGCTCAATTCTTACAACTGACTTTCCAAAACACAGGCAATAGCTTCAGAATAAACACAACCTGACACATTCACTGCTTATTTCTTCTTCGAGAGAGTCCTCAGGCCAATCCTAATTTACCCAATATCCAAAGACAAAGGAAGAAGTTATTTTAAGGGCCAGAGTCCAAAAAAGAGGACTACTTCAGCCACTAGGGCAGCACACACAGTGTTCTCAGGTTACGTAACTAGACTATAAAGAGAACAACCAAGGCTTTGAAAGCTGAAGCTACTGACAGCATTTAAAGATATTTTTTACTTCACAATCTGCAAGGAAAAAACAGCTCTTCAAAAAATATCAACTGCATGTTGTGGGGATGAAAGTTGAGGGCTTTTGAATAGATATTATTCAGACAAGATAGAACCTATGTTAGAGGAGACTGATAGTCCCTTTGGAATGAGCTGAAAATTTTCTGCAAGGAAGTCTGGAATTCTCATACACTTTCTACCTTTGCCACCAAGACACACTGTGTATAGTAGTTTATAGATTTTAGAAAAAGAAAGGGCAAACCTCTACAGAGGTTCCAGCCTAGCAGAGTGCTGCTGCCAAAATGAGAACTCACATGAGGCAGACGCAGATGCAGAGTGTCACTCCAGTCTTGAAGGAGTTACACTGGCTCTCCTGTTAAAAAACAAAACAAAGCAACAAAACAAAACAAAAACAAAAACAAAAACTGGTTTTAAAACTGTTGTGATGGGCTGGAACACAGAGACACCATTTGGAAATTGGTATTTAAAGGAGTTACCTTCCTCCTATTTAGAAGCCTCTGACCATCACTAAAATTCATCTAATTGGCCATAGCAAAACAACAGTACTGAAGATAAGCCTACGTATTGTGCATTATTTACTTTTCTGGCACCCGGAGCCTGGAATACAAGCCAAGTCTGATCCTGAAATGTTAAGTCAAAACACAAAAAGGAAAATGAATTTATTTTGTCTTAGTTAATTTCCTCTAGCACATTTCAGGTTTATATGACTGAATGCAGCTGGTAAAGTGTTTAAAATTGAACTATAGTAAGTGAAACAGACTAAATAAAGGATAAACCAGAGCAGTCTCATCTGCCTTTTAAGTATCCATTTAAACTAAGTCTACCTGCATGTATCTAACTATCTACCTATTTTTCTACCCTTCCAACACCTAAATTTGTCATCTTGATATAGAAAAGAACCAACTTCATGCTGCTAAAAATCTAACCACATGTCTAAATGTGGAATAGAAGGAAAATTTTTCATTTTGATTCTGTCAGTGGATATTTGCCCGCCATAAGCAGAATCATATTACTCTACTTTCATAAAGTACATACATCCTTTACAGATATTGACTTTTTAGATGTGCATTATGTTTAACTTTATAGGGAGTCATTTTCCCTAGAGACATTTAGTTTTTGAAAACATATGGTTAGACTCCTCTAACTTTCGAATTT